AGATTAACAGAATTCAGTAGCTGACCCCACCTCCTAAGGTTGAAAGAGACAGAGACAAAGGAACCAGGAGTCCACAAAGGCCATCAGAGCCTGCCTCCCGGATGTGCCCCTTCCCAACCTCTGCAGTTGGGCTCATTCTTTCTCTCATTCCAGAGAACCATTGTAGGCACCAAAATCAAGGGCCACACCCACGACAGGTGGCACAAATTTCACCAAAAAATGATTCAATTTCCCTCAAATGGCCAAGAAAAATAAGAACCCCCAAAATAAGACTGTTGGGATTTGTCTTCTACTTATCATCATGTATAAAACTCTAAGTTCTGCCCTCCAAGAAAAGGTCAACTGTCATTTGATACAGAGGTCTACCCATTTGACATTTCTGCACTGCCCAAAATGAGACCTTTGGCATATGGAATTGGAGTGGAGATTCAAGTATGAGAACCACAGTGAGGCTGGAGAGGGCCCTGCAGCTGGGCCAGGCAGCAGACATGCTGAGCCTGCTTGGAGGCCGGAACCCAGCCCAAGCCCAGCCTGCATGTAGCTGAAGCAAGCACAAAGCACCCCCTCAGTCAAAATCAGCTCCCTCTCCCAGACTCTTGCTTTGTAAGCTGTGATTACCACACTAGACAGCATGACAGTACCTACAGGACAAAATCACAAATCTTCCAGGGGTAGGAACCTACTACATGACTGGGCCTTCTCCTGAAAGAGAGGAAAAGCCTGGGGCCCAGAGGATAGGCTCTAGAATTTGGGGATTCATTAAATGAGATATCAGGTATGAAGGACCCTGGCCTAGAGACTGCAAATTCTTGAATACAAATGAGAACCACAGCAGCTACTGACCCCATTCAGCTCTCATTCCAGGGGCAACTAGGCAAAGGAAAAGATGCTGAGCGAATTATGTGACTGGCATATTAAAACCCTCCACCCTCCAATCACCCAGAAAACAAAATCCTAACTCTACCACAGGGTATCACTGCAGGTGTGTCTGCTCACAGGTAACAGAAACAGGCTCATATATACTGTCTCACCTCGATGGTGTTCAGAGCAGGGCAGCTACATGTGTGGTACCATGTTTGGATCAACATCATCATTTTATATCCAGTAAGAGGACCTGAGTTCAAATCCTACTTTAACTCCAGACTCCATGGTGTCCTGGGTCATGTGACCTCTTCTCTAGAATTCACCTGCAAAATAAGAGTGTGCAGTAGACTAGACGACAACCTACAGAGGCCTTCTAAAACAAATTCCTGAACCTCAGCCCTTACTTATTAAATCCATATATATAAGAGTTGCGGAGGGGAGGATCCAAGAATTAAATTTTTTAACAACCCCACCCAGGTGATAATGATGTCTATAGAGATATCTAGGATTTTCTGAACTCAGAAATAAAGGGAATAAAGGGCAGGGCCTGGCTCATGGCTGCCATGAAAACTCTCCAGAGAACCTTCTGGATGCTCCACCTCAGCCCAGTCAGTGCAGCTCCCAGAACCAGCTTCCTTTCCCTCAGAGCCTGATCCATGAGCATTCGTTCATCTCTGGGATGGGCCAGGGGGTGTCAGTCTCTCCTGCTGTACCATCAGCTCCACTGGCGCTGGAACCATGTCTGTGGTATGCACTGTTCTACCGCCATCCAGAAATAGTGCCTGGTGCAATATGTATTTGTGGAAATAAAGAGATGAACAAGATCACAGAGGTCCTTTACTGTGGGATGCTTCAGAGCCCTCAATAAGCTAAAATGCTCAGAGAATCTCTGGGAGAGTCTCACTGTGCTGTCCCTGCCCAGCCCAGTCAGGCCCAGAGCCCTCTATCATGAAGCAGCAGCTGGGACAAGTATGTCACAGGGAACAGGGACTGCCCAGTGCAGGGAATGGGAGAGGTGGCTAGTGCTAGATGAGTGCAGGAAAATTTCAGGTATTGTGGGGGCTGATTAAACCCCATAGACAGGAACAACCTAATCTAGTTACTCCAGGCAGACTTGAACTGAATTCATTACCCAGACTTCTTTATTAGGTATTTACTTTCTATCAACTTCTGCACTAAGCTATTTATCTGTTTCTTCTAATCTTTCCAGCAACCTATTCCTAGGGGAGTTGAATGCCCCAAACTCAAGAAGGCCCACCCACCATTGGGCCTGTGAATACTTTTCGCTCTACCTGGGATATTTTCCTGCAGGCCGATCACACATCACCTAAATAATGCCTGCTCATCCTTCATGCATTAGCTCTCACATCACCTCCTAAGGGAAGCCCTCCTAGATCTCCTAAGTTCTTACAGCACTGAGCTCCTCTCCCTCAGAACACACCCTTCTTCACTAGCCCCTCATAAATAATGATGTACACTGAATCACTTCACTAATGTCTGTCCCGCTCAGAAAAGTGGAAGCTCTCAGCAACCAAAGACTGAGTTGGGTCCTGCCAATTGCCGTGTCCACAGCACCTGGCACTTCTGTAGAAGAAATAAATGAATGAGGGCAATGAAAGCTCAGAGAGGTTAAGTGACTGCCAAACGTCACACAGCCGATAAGTGGCCCAACCAGAATCTGAACCCAGAACTTCCTGACTCTTATGTACAAGCTCGGCCTGCTCAGCCACTTGTGTGCTGAAGGAAGGGGTTGCTCACTCAGTGTTGAGTGCCATCTATGCCCAGGGCACTGCACAGGCACCATGAGTGGATTGCACAGGATTGGTACTCATCAGCCCTGCAAACTCCTCTTCTCTGCCACTCACCCAGCTTTCTTATGGCTCCAGGCAGCAGGCCTATGTGGGTTTAAAATAAGGAGGGGACAGATACCTGGCCTGCCTGCCCGTTCCCAAGAAGCTTGTAGGTATTCTGTACATCTTACAGGAAGACACTGACAAGTGTCATAACATGGAGCAGGTGCTGATCTTGGAAGGCAGCCTGTATCACGCCCCCCTTATCAGCACACTTGGATCACCTCCCTTCTTGTCTGAAAACTTTTCTGAGAGACATCGGTCTATAAAAATGGGATGTAGCTTTGTCATCAACAGTTCAGAGGCAAGAGCAGGAGGAGAGGCAGCTTTTAAAACTTTGACACATCAACACTGGGCAAGGTAAGAACTTGCTGCATTGAATGTGCAAGAGAGAAGGTTGAAACTCTGAGGTGGGAACAAGCATAGGACAGTTCATCTAAGGACCGATAACTAGGGTTATGGGTTTAGAATCACTTTAGCAATGTCCCTCCTCTACATAGCACCCTGCCTAACACAGGGTAGGTGGTTAAGAATTGTCTCTTATGCAATTGCTTTTAAGAGAATGGGAAATTTATCACTGGGATTCCCAAAGGGTTCCACTCAAGTCAACGTCTATCAATATTGCCATCAACTACATCACAGACGCAGGATTTTTGTTTCCCTTAAAGCATGCTTAGATGTCATGTGAGACACGTGGGTCAAATTTCTCACAGATGAGGGTAAAATGAGAAAATTGATGAAAATGTGATGTGTTTTTCTTCATAAAGGCTAATGTATTCAAGGTGAAGGATTGTCATTGGTTTCAGATTGTGCCCTTCTCTATATTTCTGCCATAACAGCTCTTTTTATGGTGTTGGCAAGAGGCAGATAGCTTGCTTTTGTTACTGCCTGTGCAAGGCGACAGCACCATCCACAACCCAGTTTTACAAAACTTAGCTAGTTAAGGCAAACAGTGAGACACTCCAGACAGAGGCAACTTGGAGAATCATGGTAACAGAGGAATGTGAGGGTTGGAGATGGGAAGTGATCTCTGAAAGTCACCAGCACAATTCAGACTCAGATGGGGTTTCTTGAGTGGATGTGGACCCAGCTCTTGGCCTCCTCGCTGAGGTTCAGGATCCTCAGCTGGAAATCATACCTAGATTTGCTGGGAGGATTATATAAGAGGTACAGATAAAGCACTCAGCATAATGACCAGTACATACGTATTTAGGGCTCATTGAGCAGATATTTATGGACATGTCCCAGAAAAAGAGGTAAAGCCAAGACTTACACGATTAACATGCACATGCCCCATGATCAGTAGGACCATGCAATGCCCTGCAAAGAGGAGGGACCAGAGGAGCCGGATGAATGGATTGACTCAATCAAACCATAACCAGGGATCCTGCCCTGTGCCATCCACCTACACCATGGTGTGGACTGGCAAACACACACCAACAGGCTATGCCAGTGCTCTACTGGAATGTGGGAATGGGCTTTGAAAACACAGAGACAGAGAAGGCCTGAGATGGTCACACCACATAGAGATGGCTCTGAACTCAGCACATTACACCAGGACAGTCCAATAACCAAAGGGGTGAAGGATGCCAATCCTGGGACTGATTCATTAGGTGGTTTAGTCCTGACCAGGCAAAACTATCACCTGAGGGCTAGTGACTATAGTGACCACTCTGTGCCTCAGGTTTCATAATCAATAAATAGGGATGCAGGTGGTCTCTCTCATGGTTGTGCTCAGAGTTCAGAGCAGCTGGTGTCCATCTACACCCCACATAGTGCCTGGCACATGGTAAGTTACACTACTGAGGAGCAGTGCTACCTACCAGCTCTCCATAAAGAGGGAGGAACCATGATCACCACTGGAATCACACGTTACAGCTAGATGATTCAAAACTCTCAAATTCCCCAGTTGGTGACTCATATTACTCCAAGGATATATAAATGAGTAAGATGGAAGGTGGTAATGTTACCCAAGAGGTCAGGCTACTGGGCAGGGCTTGGCCTATACTCAAAGGCTGCCACCAGACCATAGAGGATGTTTATGCAAATTTGAAAAAGAAGTAGAAAAGGGGCCCTTCCTCAAGTCACTGACTGCCATGTATTAAAACACTGCCTCATCAATGCAGTATATAGACTAGAATATCAACAATGTGAACGGCAGGAGCCCTCCTACAAGAGCCAGGACCTTGTATGTACGCATCCTACACAAATGTACTCAGGAGCCTTGTGGCCCACTGGGAATGTGGTGTCTGACGAAGCCCTCCTTTGCAGGTATCAGCCACGAAGATGCTGATTCTCTGGGCCATGGCCATCACATTAGCCATCGAGGCAAGAGCACTTGACCTGCTGAACCAAGGCCAATTGCTGGGAAACCTTCCTGTCCCAGCATTCCCTGTGCCCATCCTCAATAATCTTTCCATTTGTATGCCAAGGAAACAGTCCTCCAGAAGTCTGCCAATCCCAGAAAAACTTCCACTCAGAAAACAAACATCTGGGGCTGCAGGAGGCAGGTGCCAACCCGTGGCCAAGTACTTCATATCAAACAGCAAGCTCAAAGACTGTAAGTAGGAATTGTTTCACAAACACACCTTTTCCACTCCCCATGCAGACTTCTCATGTCTAACCCAGAGTGCTGGTTCTGCCTTCTGAACATGTGGTTCCAAGATACGAGGAAGCACTGGAATCATCTCAGGAACTTGTAAACAGGACAGCTGCCTGAGCCCACTCCCTTATATTCTGGACCAGCACTACCACAGTGTCCTGAGAGCCTGGCTTTCTAATTAGCTCCAGGATGACACTGCGGCTGCTTGTCCACGGTCCATACACAGGCTAGGAATGGTCTGAGCAACCCTGGAGAAGGGAACTCTAGGACTCAGCAAGCTGTCTAGTTACCTGCCTTTTATGTGACTCTTACCACATGGAGACTGTGCCAGGAGACCTCATGGCTTCTCGCTGCTGGACCCCAGTACTCATCTAGACTCCCGGGGTGCTTAAAACCTCAACCTGGTCTATCAGGAGCCAAAAAAAATGGGAAATCGGGTTCCACCAGCAAACCCCTTAACCAGACTTGCTTTCTGACTCCCTCCCTGAGTCTCATGCTCCTCCATGAGGAGATGAGGAACTCTGCCCCTCCAAAAATCCCACAGAGGCTGAGAACAGAGAAACTCAGGAAGTTAAGGCTTGGCAAAGGAGTGACTCCTATTCGGGGAACAGAAAGAGGGAAGGACTCATTGGCAAATAAAGGCTATCAGGACTAAGTCCTTATAGTTCTCTTAACAGCCATCTAAAGCCACAGCCTAGGTAGGCATGGAGGATAACAGGACAGGGCAACAGAGGGGACCTGGGCACCTACCAAGTGATCAGTGCCCAGCCCCACAGCTCCAATGTAGACTGCTTTGCCTCTTGAGAAACATGTTCCCAGATCTCCCAAGCATCTTTCCTTGTTACGAAATACTTCAAATAGGAAGTTCAGACAGTGGTAAAAAAGACAGCTGTCTATCCATCACATAGTGATTTGAGGCCCCAGGGCCCTTGCCAGACTGCATCCCCTCACTCTCTGTCCCTCACACCCAAAGGAGGCCTCTAGCCTGTTTATTTTTCCATAGCAATTTCCTTATATTTTATGGCATGTGGATATTCCTTATCAATACAAAAGATCACACTACATGTTATAAAGATTCCAGAATAGGTAACCTGCTTGTTCTGACCCTCAGACTTATGTGTGGGAGGTGATTCATCCATGTTGCAATGAGAAATTCTTGCCATTCACTTTCAACACTGTGCTGTACTAGATGAATCCTCCACAATGTATGCACCTATTCCATTTGTTTCCAGTTGTGTGCTACTCCAAGCGATGCTGCTCTGAACACTCTTGTGGGGGTCTCCTGGTGCACGTGAGCAAGAGACTCCCTGGGGCATAAACCTGGGGATGGGGTTTGTCCACATCACCCCACACAGGCAAAGCCTCTCCATTGTTGAGAGCACTGGGCAGGGGAAGCAGCAGGAAGTCTCCAAAAGCCGTGGCCCACTGGCTCAGCAGGGGCTGGTATTAGGGGACTTCTTCCAAATGCTACTCTACCGGGCCAAAAATGTTTGATCCTAGGTCAAATTAACTTCATCCCTGAGGTGAGCGAGGTTGACCACTAACCAGATTTAACAGCTTTTTCTCCAAGTTCCTCACTCAGGCCATAGAGAACAGCATGATAAGACAGGACCCTGGTGATTGACGGCTCTCCAAGCAGCTGTTGACACTCCTTCCCTTTCCCCCAGTCTTCTTGGATTCCAGCTCTCCCTGCCCTGCTGTCCCCCAGGGGGAGGGAAACACATGGTTAGCACCTCCTCCACCCTGATGAGAGCAATGTTGGAGGAGAAAGAAAGCTGATGGAGGAGCTTTCCTATCAGAGGCAGCTCGTCAAAGTGGCACAAAGGGAAAATAAGGCCTGGAGAGGGGAAGAGACAGAATCACACAATCGGTGGAGAGAGTCCAGATCTGTCAGCTCCATCACCACTTTCCCAGTCACCTCCCGCTTTACTCAGCACTTACAATTTGCCAACATCTCTTTCTTCCTCCACCCAGCAACCCATGCAGCAGGTTCTATCGTTCACCCCTGTACTGGTGCAGAGACTAGGGCTGGACAGCAAAGATTCTGACCCAGGCCACTCGGTCTCCAAACAATAGAGCCGAGACTGTACCCCAGGCTGCTGGGCTCAAAAACCAAACTAGGTCCTTTCACTCTATGCCCAAATCTCTTTAGATGTAAAGTACTCAACACCAGGCTGGCCTCAAAGTAGTTGCTAATACATGTTAGATTCTTAACAAGGAAACAAGTCTATTTCTCTGATACCACGCTGCCCTTGGGGTGGGCAGTAGCAAGAATTGAAATTTCTGGGAGGCACAACATACAGTTCCTGTGGGCCCCACAATTCAGAGGTGCTGGCTGCCCACTGGCTGAACTGACTGGGAAGCCTACAACAGGAACGTATCTCTTGACTCTTTTCAGATCTGAATGCCACTCTGCTCCCGCAGATTGAGATGATGCTGAAGTGTGAGAAGGTTAACATGGCTGGTGTGCTTGGGACACTGTTATCCACAGTGGGTGACTCCGGCCTACTGTCTGTGTTAGACATCACATCATCCCTTGATATACTTGGAAGTGGTGGCCTTGGTAGTATCTTAGGCAAGAGAGGCAGCAGCAAGTCCCTGAAGCTCCCATTGTCAGAAGTCACTGGTGCCATCAGTAACCTGCTACCTCTGGGTCAAGAGGGTCTGGGCAGCCTGCTACCCACTGGTGCACACAAGAATCCTGTAAAAGGACTCCTTGATAGCACTGGTCTCTCCAACTTCCAGCTACCCCTGAATGATGTGGCCAACAAAATTGGTGAGCTCAAAGAATCCACTGAGAGTGTGCTGAACAGTGCCCTGTCACCAGATGTAAATGAGGCACTCACGGCCCTGCTGGGAAATATTAATTTGGAAGAGCTTTTGCTGGGGTAAGTGCTTCCTTTACCTTAGCTAAGGCTTCTGGTACCAGAAAAGCTGTTGATCTGAGACACTCAAGTTCAACCTCCAACAATCCTACCGAATGAGACAACCACAGTTTCACAAGGCAGTATACTCACTCCATGTTGAAACTGTGCCCTTTTAGGGGAAAATATGATCAAGATTTCTTGAGCTTGAAGAACTGGGTGGGTAAGGGGTTCAGGAGTCAAGGGAATGGGAGGTGCTTAGTAGGTTAACTGGCTGCTTCAAAGGTATTTCTCCTGCTGTCCAGGCTGATCCCTGAACCAGGACTGACTCTTGATGCTGTCACTTTGCAGATTAATGGTTCAAAAAGTGACTGTAGAGAGCATGAAGTTGACAATGGAAGGCAATGAGATCCACGTAGACGCCAAAATTACTGCCTTCATCGGAGGAAAAGGGTGAGCCTGTTTCCACAACAGTCCACTGAGTCGCCCTAGACTGGGGTTGTGAGTTCCAGTGTCCAAGGGCCAGATAGAGACAACACAATACAGCAGCATGGGTAAGGGTGGAGCAAACTGGGAACCAGACACAGCTGCTGCTCCCCACAACCCAGGGGAGCCTGTCCTCCAATATTGTAAACAAAAATTTTCATGTGTAATCTGTGCAAGTTCATACATGGGAATGAGGACAGAAACCAAAGAGAACACATCTCATTGTGACATCTACACTGGCCTTAAAGGAAATGTACTATCCAAATAATCTGTATTCACCATGGAGAATCAGCCCACTCTGTACACTGTCCTAGTCAGTTGGGAGAGACAGAGATGATCAAAATGCCTTCAGGGAGCTACACATTTAAACATGCATGCATGCATTCATCCATCCACTTGATATGTAGTTAAGAAATACCACTCTGGGACAGAGGCTGTGCTGGGCACAAAGACAGGTCTAAAAGCAGTCCATCCTCAGTGAGTGTCAACACATGAGGGAGGAACATGCTAACAGCATAGGCTCTGGGCACACAGGAGGGCATCAGAGGGACAGGGCATCCCCACTGGGGAGAAGACAATTTTATGGACTAAGATCCACAGCACTAATACCTCTCACTAGCCCAGCACCTGCCAGGCACTTAATTGTCTATGAACTTACCAAAGCCTCTCCACAACCTCACCAGAAAAGCAGTCCTGTTTCCAGACTGGCAAAGCAGCTTAGACTAGCAAAAGTGGTTACAAACCTTGCTCAAAGTCATGGAGCTAAAATATGGAAATGACAAAGTTTAAATTCAGGCAGTCTGCCTGCAGAGCCAATGTCTGTGCCCATTAGAGTTAGCAGTATCAAGAGGAGCCATTGTCTTGACCAGAAAGACTCACGTTAAAAAGATCAGCTCTGGCCCAGTGGCAGGTTTTTCTTATGCTATTGCCCATATGACAAAAAGCCAGAGTGCTGGCACAAAAGTGAACCTGTAATGGACATCTCGTTACAAATCGGCCTCATGCCACCAACAACAGATGACTTCCTAAAGACTGGTTAGAAGAGCAATTTTGTCAAACCTACCCACACGCCAGGCTGTGTACACTGTGTATAGACGATGGCCAGACTTGGGGTACATCGACTGCAAAGTACCAAACGTTCCCTCTCCTTGACTAACCTTGACAAATACATGAGGCTAAATGCATTTAATTTACATTTAGCCAAAATGTCTATGGCTTGGCCCAAGCAACACCTTGGAGCCGGGCCTGGATTTATCTGCATTTTGCTCTCCACAGCATAATTGGACCTGTACTAAGCATACTGGGATTTCAAGTGGAAGGGGATGTGTCCATGAAAATTGGCATTTCCACAGACAACACCCAATGTGTCAATCTCTTGGTCCAGGAAAAAGCCATCAAGGCCAAAAAAGTGGATCTTCAGATAGTGCAGACGTACGTAAGACCCTTTTTCTCATTTTCTGGATCAACTGGCCTGTGTGCCAGAATGTCCCCACTGGTACTACCCTTATACATTAGCTTGTCCAATGCAGTGGTTTGAACAATCATTAAACAAGGGCCCAGAAGGGGTCTCTGCTGAGGAATTGTCCACTATGTTTGAGAACAGCCTTCTCTCACCCTGCATTCTGTCTGCTAACTGTACTTTTAGTAATTCATTCAATTTTTTGCATAAGCAATATATTCACCTGAATCAAAGTCCAAAATCCAAAAGATACAAAATAGCAGACAGTGAAAAGTCTCCTTCCCGCCCATGAGCACCAGCCAGCTAATTAACCTCCCTGGAAGCAACCAGTGGATCCTCTGTTTGCTTTCATTGATGCTATTTGCACATGTAAGTAAATTTACATGTATATATATATGCATACCAAAAGGGGAAGATGTTATACACTTCTGGATTTTATTGTTTTATATAAAAAAAAATAGCTGGGAATCTGTTTCATTACTATATATACAACATCTTCATTTTTTATGACTCCCTAGTATTACAAAGATGCACTAAAATTTATTTAATTAGTCCTATATCAAGGAATACTTGCTTCTTTCCAATTATCAACTTTTATTCCCAACTACAATAAATAAGGTCACAAACAAGTCCGTCTACCAACTTCTATGGGTATCTGAAGGATAAATTCCTCTAAGTGGTATTTTTCTGAGCCAGATGTCACATGCTTTGTTCATTTTGTCAGGCATCCTTGCATCTTCCTGAATGACTGAAACTGAAGTAAAAGGGCTCAGGTGTGTGCACAGATTAAGCAGCAGGATGTAATTGCAGCTGTTTAATCAATGGGTGGGTTTTCTCCAACATTTGGGCAAATCCAGAAACACAAGGATGACACAGTCCTCCACATGCATCTTTCCCAGGGTCACAGAGTCTTTGCCTATCCCTTTGTATCTGCCCTTGGATGACATCATTGCTCAACTGTTGACAGTGATTATGAATGAGAATGTAAGTCCTGGGAAAGGGGAGGGTCTATATCACTGAGGGAGGAGAGGAAGGAGCCCTTCCCTCAGAAATGGCCTAATGCTAGGAGGAACTCAGGAATGAGACATCAGGCCCTCAGGAGTCCCAAGACTAGGGGACCAGCAGCCCCTATGGCCCAAAAGAGCCCAACAGCAGGAGTGACAATGCCTCATGCTGGGGAGAGAAACAAATGACTTCTGCCAAAAAGGAGGTCAAGAAAATAGGACAAAGAAAAGGGAAGGAGGACAGGGAGACACAGAAGAGGTGGGTTGTGAAGTAGGATAGCCTTATGGTGCTTTGTCGGCAAAGCTAACTAGTGGTGACTTCACAGATTGAAGAACCAAACTCCTGTGCCATCATTCTCGATGATTTCAACGATTGCGAGAATTGTGAGTACAAACATTCAACTTCCCTAGGGCTTCCCACATCAATGGGGGAGATGCCTGAGACTCCTTATGGGATCCTACTGGATGAAAGACCAGAGAGGATGTGGCTGTGGGATGCAATACCATGCACCTCCAAGCACTCACGCAACCTGTCCTCAGCACCTTCTGGGCAGAAAATGTCCCACCTTACCTGATTCTCAGGACCACGTTGACTTATTCTCCAGGAAGGGAACAGAACAATGAGCCCCTTGGGAGGCTCCCTGGTAGCTCCCCAGTCCCTAATGGTTTGCCAAGGGCACATATGCATGAAGTCTGAGGGAGGAACAGTCCCAGGACCTCCCCTGAAAGGCTGAGAATCAGAAATCCTTCAATGTCCCGAAACATATGTAGAGAGACAGGGATGATAAGACATGGTGAATCAGCAGCTACCAAGACAGCCGAAGCAGGAAATCAGTGACATTTGCCAAGTCCCAGAGCAGATAATGCATCAGGCCTAGCCAGTAAATCTTTTCCTCCCTTGGAGATTTTGGCACATCAGAGAAGGGACCAAGTCCTCATGCTGGCTTCCTCCCTGCAGCCTCCTTCCAGATGAATATGGGGGCATCAGATTTCTGATTGGGACCAAGGGAGCGGGAGTGGTCCACACTGGTCCCCGGTCAGGAGGGCAGCATCAGGCAGAGAACATAGGACACAACAATTGTACAGTTTGCTGTGGTCTCTCCATCTCTCCTCTAACCTGCAGCTACTGGCTTGTTCACGTACTACATTAAAAGCTCCAGGATTTCCGAAGAAGGTCTTTCAACACTCTACTGTGTAAGTGTTCTTTGTCCTTACAATGGCTTCTGACAAAGGTTGGAGACATCCCTGAACTCATAACATATATTAGAACAACATGACAAACCAGCCTTTATCCCTTTTCGAATCCCCAGATCTTTACCACAGGGTGAATCTCCCAGGCTTTCATCACATCACCTGAGCGCCCACCCCAGGGGTCAGCCATGTGTTCCCTTCCAGTTAAGTCTAACATACAACACCCTGAGGAGCATTCCAACAATGACAACTATTTCTTGACCATATGGTAGGCCCAGCACAGGTCTAGGTCACTCAAAGGAGAATATATAAGAAAACAAAAAGTACTGGATCTCCCCACCCACCCCTCTAAACCACTGGCGAAGGCAAAACTAAGCCAGGAAAGTGCCAACGAAAGGCAGGGTTTTGGACTCAGTTAGTTCCACTTCTAGGGATTCATCCAAAACAAACAACCTAAGTACAGATTTATTTAAGCACAAAGAAATACAGGTATTAATGACAGGAACAGGAAAAAAAAAAGTAAAGAAACAAAAAGGAAATAAGACAAGTATGAGATCACTAGAAATGTTGACAACATTCATAATGGCATATGGAAATGCTTATGAAGCTATTGTTAATTTTTAAAAAGCAAACAAAAAATGAAATGAGGTATGTAAGCAAAGACATGCAGAAATATCAGTGCCACGGGGCAGGAATCTCTTTCCCTTCTTCTTCTCCATACTTCTCTCCATTTTCCACCTTTCCTGCCATGTGGAGTTTGCATTTCATAAGCAGAGGTGAAAATGCATATGAAAGGAAAAGGAACTAATTAATTGAGAAAAAGATGGGCTTTGAAGTGTGGGAAGGAAGGAAGGAGGGCACTCTGGGCTGGGAGAACGTGTAAGGAAAGGTAAGAAATGTGACTCTTGTGCTGACGTGCATACACATGTACCTTACTGGAAGCAACACTTAAATGGGGGAATTCACCTGAAAAATAAGGATTTGTGGCTACTTGGAAAACCAGAGGTCTGGGTGCCCTGAGCCACTGCACTGGGACTGCAATCAGCTGGAGCTGAGCAGTGGCTCCTCCTTTACCTGCACTCCTGTTCTCCAGTCGCCACAAACCCTATCACTCCTGGTGGTCCCCAACACAAGACTGGAGGAGGTCAACTGCCATGTGTCTTCATTCTCCTCCCATTGCAATGCTCACTCAGAGCCTCCTCACCCTTCACCTTCATGGCCAGGCCTCCAAAGGCATTGAAATTGGTGTTCATTTCATGTGATGACAGGGATTTTTCTGTTTTTCTCACTCTAGGCCAAAGCCAACTTTAACAAAAATACAGTCCCTGTGCCTGGAAGTTCTCTCCCTCCAGATCCTAAAAATGCCAACATTTCCATAACTCTGTCCCACACGCTGCTCAGGGCAATTGTCACTTACATTGTCAAGCAGAGCTCCGTCAAGGTAAGCATCATCCACATGGCCCCTGGCACTGCTCTGCTCTTTGCCTAAGCCTAGTCTGTCAACATCTTAGAGAGAAAAGGTGGGAATAAAAGTGGGTTCTGGGGCTGGCCCGGTGGCGCACTGGAGAGTGCGCCACTTGGGAGCGCGGCGGCGCTCCCGCCGAGGGTTCGGATCCCATGTGGAGACCGGTTCCCGCTCACTGGCTGAGCGCGGTGCAGGCGCAACACCGAGGGTTGCGATCCCATTGCTGGTCAGTAAAAAAGACAAAAAGGAAAAAAAAAAAAAGTGGGTTCTGAACATTCTTCTAGAGATAAACACAACAAATGCTATGGGATACACATTTTCCCTTAATGATCCTATAAGTGGGTCCCTGTTTACATCATTGGAAAGCAGAAAGCAGGGACATAAGATGACAAACTTTTTTAGTGCCATCTGTGTGCCAAGAACAAAGCCAGGTGTCTTCACATAATTAATGTCATTTCATCTTCACAACAGCATTAGGAGGTAGGTAGTCTTATTCCTGCTTTACAGATGACCAAAATGAGAGTGTGAACTTACCAACAGTCACAGAATGAACAGGGAATTCATTTGCTCCCAGTACTAAAGATGGCAGAGGGGATAACAGTAATAGTAACAACAACAGCAAAAATTGACTACTTGTGGCCGGCCCAGTGGCGCACTGGATAAGTGCGCCGCTTGGGAAGCGCGGCGGCGCTCCCGCCCGAGGGTTCGGATCCCACATGCAGACCGGTTCCCGCTCACTGGCTGAGCGAGGCGCGGGAGTGACCCGAGGGTTGCGATCCCGTTGCCGGTCCCCGGTCTGGTACGGGGACAACACTGAGGGTTGCGATCCGTTGCCAGACACGGAAAAAGACAAAAGACAAAAGCCAAAAAAAAAAAAATTTGACTACTTGCTTGGCCAGGCTGTGTTTGAAGCGACGTACATGTTTTCATCAGAGAGTCTCCCAAAACGATCAAGTGAGAGCTGTCTTGCCACAAGGGCATAGAGAGAAACAGGCTTCAAACTGGATGATGTGTAATAGAAAAGTAAAATTTCACCATCCTTCCAAAAAAGGAAATGAGATATTTGGAAGTAGATCTTGTCAGTTGTGGTCACATTGGCTGTACCAGGACCCCACGAAGTGACCAACTCATACTAGAGAATCAATAAATATTTGAATGAATTATTTGAACGATGCATGAATGTCTCATAATATAACATTCTGCAGTCTTTCTTCCTCTCTGCACTCAAAATGATGACTTTTTTACAACAGAAAAATAACCTGGATGTGAGCGTCAGCAGAATAGCCTACGCCTACCAACCAGGCAATAAAGTCCAAGCCACCTACTGGGTTAGCATAAGAAAGGATGGCAAGTGCGTTGCCACTGGGCAAACGGTGAGTGCTGAGAAATGATTCAGAACTGAGTTGTGATGAGGAACCAGAAGGAGCATGCTAGATGGAAAAAAGAGCAGAGTGTTTTTTGTTGGGGGCACCACACCAAAGCCTGCAGCACGAATGCCTGGCTGTCCCTAAGATGAGGGAGACCAGCCATGCTGTTGGGTCCCCAAGGGGAGGATGGAGTAAGCAGGTTGACTTGGCAGGGTGACGCCAGGCAGGCTCTACTCTAGTTCTGGCCTAGGACTCTGTCAGTCATCTCACGATGTGACATGTTTGCTGAGTAGCCAATTCAAGGTGTTATTTTTAACTTATGTTCATTTTATGTTAATTCAGAATCTCACCCTCTCTTATGACACCAAGATTTCAAAAAACAAACTGACCTCAGACATCAGGCTTTTCAGGTACAGTCTATTCTACATAATTCTCCTGACAATTGACATTTTAAGAGACAATAACAGGAACTTCTTACAAATCGCAAATGAAGGATAATTTAAAGGGTGTTTTGGAAATACTTGGATAATCACAGGGAAATAAGAATGAAATTTTAAACGCACATGCTGTTATTCACCTTATATTTGCTCTTTCTGCTCAGTAGTTTGCAAAATAAAGTGATTTCTTTAAGAAGATATTGAAGTGACACTTAAACCCTGCTTTAGAATTGTGTATTCTTTCGGATATGAAACTAATCTTTCCTTGTCCTTTGTTTCCTGATAGCTCTGAAAACAGTGTGACACCCCCTGAGGCTGTAAGTTGATTTGATTTTCAACATATTTATGTATATGTGGGAAATTATTTTGATGCCAGAAGCTCAGTGACACATGAGCTCCAGACCTGAGCTCTCTCTGAGGAGCTCCTAAAAAACATGGCTGCCAGCCCATTATGGAGTCCCACATTCAGTCAGTGACCTGAAGTAGGGCCTGGAATCCATGCTTTTTAGTGTCCTGGGTGTTCTGATATGCCAGCAAGCCTGAGAATCTACTGGAAGCATGAAAATATGACCCAGACTGTAATCCTGCCTCAGCTGATGGGAGCTTCTCAGAAACAGCCAGACTGCTGTGGCCTCAGCTCTCCTGTCAGTGGTTTTCAACCCATGTTCTATGGGGTGAGCATGTGGATCACCAGAGGAGAGCCTGTGAGGAAGAGGAGTGTCAAGCATGATGGTAGGGCCCAGGGATCAGAGATGGAAACTGACGGAAAGTTCGACAACCAACCCCATGTTTAAGACATTTGATCTTAAGCATGTCCATACCTTAATTCAACAAATGATTAGTGAGCTCCTACTACGTGCCCACCCCTAGGAATGCAACATGAAGTCATAATGAGCTCCCTGACTCCAGGAGTGACATTCTAGTTTATGTCAGAATACGAGACAGATTAAAAACATAAATAAATAAGCCAAATTATTAAGTCTGGTAGCCACCCATTGGATGGAGGCACACGATGGGCGGCCGGAGGTGAACAAGCTCGTGACTAAGGGTTTACAACCCGGGTCTGAGATAATAGGGAATCAGTTGTTTCAACTTTATTGCCCAGCTACATGATGTGCCAGGCTCTGTACTCAGAGGAAGCAACTTAGAAGGCAAGGTCCCTGACCTCATACAACCACCCACCTGACAGGGGACACAGACATTTATGCAAATAGTTGTTAACTGAGCATGAGGACAGATCAGAAAGAGCATCAACAGGGAGGATGACAGTGGGTTTATGCCTGAACTCAGTCTTGAAGGAGAAGCAGGAGTTTTCCACACAGAACAAACATTATGTACCGGGAAGAGGGAACTGGATGTCAAAGGGTAGGCAGCATGGATGCACAGGCCTCCTGGGGAGGGGTATGCAGGGAGAGGGAAGGTAAAGAGAGCACCAGCAATAAGACCAGATCTGGGAAGGCCTCATACCCACTACAAAGGAGACAACAGCATTCAGCAACAACCAGATCTCCCTTATCACTGAATTCGATGTTTGTCCTGAGGACACAGAGCTGTACCACTGTATCTACAGCAGTGTCTGGCACATAATAGGAACCCAATAAACCTTTGTTCAAGGAGCCACTTAAGGCAGCAGAACCTACTGAAGGGCCTTTGAAGCCTCCCCAAAGAATTAGAGATCTGAGGGATGTATTAAGATCCATATCCCCACCAGGTCTTGTCCAGTAACAGAACTTTTCACTAGGAAATCTGCACATGTACAAAGGCTTTAAGACTGCTTTTCTGGACAGTGACTAGCTGGGGGACTACTAGATGGTATTGATGAAAATGCTCCTCCCATCTCTTGCAGATGCACGAGGTGCAAGATGTGATGGCTGAAGTTCTGAAGAAGCTCTATTCTGGCCTAGCTGGTATGTGGAACTAATCATCTGAACACCTAGGAGAGTCAGTGTAACAGAAAAAGTACCAGGGTGTGAGTAACATTGCAGAATGTGCTAAAGCACTGAGTATAATATATCATCCCATCACCACCCATCATCCCATCATCACAAAGCACTTATTTTTAGATAGAGGTTTCAGCATCCTGAAATGGCAAAAAATAAAAACCAAATCAAAATGCTTCTTCTACCCCCCCTAAAGAAATCTAGTCCACTAGCTTTCTTTGGGACCAACACCATCATGATGCTTAGAGGAAACATGAATCAGGATCAGCTAGTCACGAGACATTAGGGGTTTGAGAAATTCAAGAGGTTGATATCATAACCCTTATCACCACCAAAGATGATGCCGCAACATGCCATGTGCACATATTTCTGGATAATTCTAAAGGGGATCAAAATAGTGCACATAATAGCAAAACAGCAGGGCCTAACTTTTGTGATTTCTTAAGGTAGTGAGGTCAAACATGCCAGCAGATCTGTTGGCACCAATTCTTCATGTATATGATACCCACCAGGTTTCCACTTGCTTTTAGGGTCTTTTCGGGTCCTTATAAACTCATCCTCTCCCATCAACAGACTTGGCTGAAGAGACTACGTAGGTCTTTTCTTGAATTGCTTTGCTGAATAGGCAGGGGAAAGAGACCTACATTGCCCAGAGGTCCCTCCAGATGACTGTGGCTTAAACAACCCAGCCCTGGTTATCGCTTCTTTCAACTGATATCATAAATGCTCCTTCTCTATTTCAGAAAATATAAAACAATGGAATATACCACCAGGAGTAATCTCAAGCCTTCTAAAGAATGCCAAGGTTTTAGTGCTTCAAACGGTAAGAGAGAAAAATATTTCCCTTTAGCACTAAAGCCCATTCTGTACTTGGATCTTCAGAGGAATACATGGGGCCAGCGGGACCGGGCTTCATGCTTTGTTCCCGGCTGCCCTACCAGCTCCATCCAATCTTCCCGCTCCTTCCTAGGCAGATTTTTTGCTTGTTGTCTCTTTACTCACCATACAAGTCCTAACCCATATGATCAAATAATCTGTCCCATTATCCCCATGAGGACTCTCACACTTACCTGAATACATCTCAATCATTTCTTTGGAAACTTCCCCACTACATGTGGCTGACTTATCATTACTGCCTGTCACCTTCTGCCTTGCTGGAGTGTCTCATTCTTTCCCACCCTGACTTGGATTTCTTTCTTCCCATCTATCTAACCCATAGAAAATTTGAAGGAGAACCTGTCTCCTGAAAAAGTTAAAAGAATGGAATGTTTAATCAACTTTGTCACAAGTAAAAGATTAAATGATGGTGGAACTAGGGAAGATATATGACAGAGTAAAGAAGTTTAGAATCTCCATAACTGTAGATGTTTTCCATTCTTGATAAATCTGCTTAAAGAATATGAAATCTGACTAGAAAAATATCAACTTCTTTCATTTTGGCTCAAACTTCAGAAGTTGTACATTCCTATTTTTAGTTTACCCCCAAATTTCCCTGTATCTGTGGCCAAATCAATTACTCCAGTGTAGAGTGTGGTAAAATCAGCATTTGACTTAGTGTTAGTTTTCTCTTATACTCCACAGCTATTAATAGCCTTAGACATATACCTTAAACCCCCTAAGTTTGCCTTGAGTCAAAGGATTCAATCAGATGAATGCCAAAACTATATTTTAGCTAGAAGTGACAGAAAGCCCAGCTGAAATTGGTTTAAGTAACAATAACAATAAAAATTATAGGTATTAAACATCCAGGGATGATGTTAGCTTCAGCAGTGGCTTGATTCAGGGCCCAAATGATGACACAAGAATCAGTCTCTTGCTCTACCATTTCTGGATAGGCTCTGTTTGCCTCTGCATGGAAGCCCCTACCCACCAAGAGCTTTACTTTCTATTTCTTTCCCAAATAGTTCAAACAACAATCACCCTCCAGGGTCCTCACTGGCCTGACTTATTCCACATCCCCATCCCTGAAGCAAGCTCTCTAGTCAGAAGGATGGAGGGTAGTGATTGGCTCAGACCATGCCTGCAGCCAGCTTATATATTTAAGCACATAATTAGTTGTTGTTTTTTCTTCCTACAGAGAGATCTTCAAGCAGCAAACTAAACCCAGCATACCTGAAGGCAAGCAATGTTCCAGAATGAAAGCAAAAACACTCTACGAAACTTTCTATGAAATATTGAGCAAAGGACATTCTTATGATTAAGGAACCAAATAGAGTTAGAGTTATTAAAATGTCACCTATCCTTTGGAATTTCACCAACTACCTTGAATTAACAAGTGCCAGAAAAGCAAAAATCTGGGGATTTGTGGCATTTTTGTAATCATCTCTTTAATAAATAACCTGTTTCCATGCAAAAAAAAAATGATTCACTTGTCTTCAATTTCTGCAGATAGGAATTTCTTCATGTTTATGACTAGTCAAAGTACTTCTTACTTGGGACATAAAAATCAATAACATGAATGATGAGGCAACGAAACCCACTATTAACTTATCTAGTCTGATAAGGGACAATCACAACAATGATTAAGACTTTTTGTCCCATGTTTCTGCTCCTAAACTCTAAATGCTCTGTTCTGCATGATGGCTCAACATGAAAACCATACAGGGGCTAGAATACAACTTCTCTATGTTAAATACCAGGGGGTACAGTCCAAATGCTGAAAGCTAGGTGGAAGAGAGCAGGTAAGAGCTTGGTAAACCACGAACTGGAGATAAAATAATCTACGTCCCATGTGGCTGAGTAGAAAGCCAAGCTAAGCAGTCAAGAGACCGTAAATGCAGAGAGCCCCAGAAAAGTATAAAAGAGGGATGCTAGAGAACACAACGGTGATCTCTGTATCAGGTAGCAACCCTTTGCTCTGTACCCAGTGTCTGCATAACCTGTTTGCTCTACAACCTAAACAGCTCAAATTGTGAACAAAAAGACCAGATAGAGGAAGCAGGGCCAGAGACTGGGCTTGCCCCACAGCAAGGGGCAGCACCCCATAAAATGAAAGCCAAATCACCCTGGACTTTGGTGGCACAACACCATGCTCTAACCAACTGAGATAACCAGCCAGCTCTCTCTATATTATCTTTACAACTGTTCTGGAAATCGAAAATATTTCAAAATAAAAATGCAAAAAAGGTCCTGGATAACGTACTCAAAGCCAACCTTTCCTGTGTCATATGGCTCTCACCATCACTCACAACATTCTGTCTACACTGGCCTCTCAGTGTTTTCAACTTACCAACTCACCAAGCTCTTTGTCATGCCATGAGATCTGTAGCAGATTATATTTATGAAGATGGCAGCAAAAATATCTTCCATCCCACAAGCTCTTCTAGACCCCAGCCACTTCCCATCAAGAGGAGAAATGTAATTTCTCTTTATTTGAATCTGGGTGCAAATGTGAGCTGCTTGTAATTAAGAGTAACTCCTCTTTTCTTCCTATATGATTTCAAAGATAATTATGTAAAATAAGAATTATAAATTATGTTGAAGTGTACACAATGTATAAAAATGTAATTTATAACAATAACAACATAAAAATATAAGAACAACATAAAAGGGTAGAAGTCTATAAGAGCAATATTTTTGTATCCTATTGAAACTAAGTTGGTATTAATTCAGACTGTTATTAATTACAGTCCTCAAAGCAACCACTAACAAAAAAATAGTACAAGGAATTATAAGGAAATCAAAATAGTCCAGGAGAAAACATATAACACAAAAAAGGCAGTAAAAGAGGAATCAAGGAACAAAAAAGATATAAGATATATAGAAAACAAATAGAAAATGACCGAGTTCCTTCCATATCAGTAATTGCAATATACATAAATGGATTAAGTCTCCAATCAAAAGGCAGAGACTGGCTGAATGGATTTAAAAACACACATGCTCCAACTATATGCTCTCTACAAGATACTCATTAGACTCAAAGACATAAATATGTTGAAAGTGAACTTATGAAAATATATATTTCATTCAATTGGTAACCAAGAGAACTCAGGAGCCTGTACTAATCTCAGACAAAATAAACTCTAAAACAAAAATTATTGCAAGAGACAAAGGACATTATATAATAAGGGACAATTCATCAAAATGGGGCTGGCCAGTCAGCTTGTTCGATTAGAGTGCAGGGTTATAATACCAAGGACAATGGTTCTGATCCCTGTACCAGCCAGTTGCCAAAAAAAAAAAAAAAAATCAAAGTGATATAACAATTATAAACATATATGTACCTAAAAGTAGAGCCCAAACATTTATGGAGCAAAAACTGACAGAATTGATGGAAAAACAGACAGTTCAATAATAATCTTTGCAGACTACAACAACCATCTTTCAATAAAGGAAAGAACAATTAAACAAAATATTAAACAAGGAAATAGAAGATTTAAACAACACTATAAACTAACTAGATGTAGCAAACATATACAAAACACTCCACCACCAAGCACATAATATAGATTCTTGTGCACGTGAAACATTCTCCAGGATAGTCAATATGTTAAACCACAAAACAAGTCTAATAAGCTTAAAAAGACAGAAATTATACAAGGTATCTTCACTGATCACAATGAAATGAAACTAGTAATCTATAACAGAAGGGAATTTGGAAAATTCACAAATATGTGGAAATTAAAAAACAAACTTTTAAACAATGAATAAAAGAAATCAAAAGGGAAAATTAGAAAATGATGTGAATGAAAACAAAAATACAACATATCAAAACTTATTGAATAGAGCAAAAACAGTACTCTGAGGGAAATTTATAGCTGTAAATGCCAACATTAAAAAAAGAAAAAAAGGGCCAAGCCCATGGTGCACTCAGGAGAGTGCGGCGCTGGGAGCGCAGCAGCACTCCCGCCGCAGGTTTGGATCCTATATAGGGAAGACTGGTGCGCTCACAGCGCTCACTGGCTGGGCACGGTGCGGCTGGTCTCAAAAAGGCAAAAAAAAAAAAAAATGGGCCAGCCCCGTGGCGCACTCCGGAGAGTGCAGCGCTGGGAGTGCAGCGTCACTCCCGCCGCGGGTTCGGATCCTATATAGGAATGGCCGGTGCGCTCACTGGCTGAACGCGGTGCAGGCGACACCAAGCCAAGGGTTGCGATCCCCTTACCGGTCACGAAAAAAGACAACAAAAAAAAAGAAAAAAAGGGAGTCAAAGAAGAAATCAATAAAAATTTTTAAATATCTTTTTTTTTTTTAAAGATGACCGGTAAGGGGATCTTAATCCTTGACTTGGTGCTGTCAGCACCACGCTCAGCCAATGAGGGAACTGGCCATCCCTATATGGGATCCGAACCCGTGGCCTTGGTATTATCAGAACCACACTCACCCGAGTGAACCACGGGCTGGCCCCTTTAAATATCTTGAACTTAATGAAAATGAAAATACAAATTATCAAAATTGGTGGGACATACCAAAAGCAGTGCTTACAGGGAAATTTACAGCACTGAACACATATATTAGAAAAGAAGAAAGATCTAAAGTCAATAATCTGAGTCTACCTTAAGAAACTAGAAAAAGAAGTGCAAATTAATCCAAAGTAAGCAGAAAAAAAAAAGAATGAATAAAAATTAGATCAGAAATCAATAAAATTGAAAACAGGCAATCAAGGCTGGTCAGTTAGCTGAGCTGGTTAGAGCATAGTGTTATAACACCAAGACCAAGGCTTAAAAAAGAAAGAAAAGAAAAAGAAAATAGGAAATCAATAGAGAAATTCAATGAAACCAAAAGCTGGTTATTTGAAAAGATCAATAAAATTGATAAGCCTCTAGCCAGGCTAACTAAGACAAAAGGAGAGGACAAAAATTACTAACATCAAAAATGAAGCAGGCAAAATATCCCATGGATAATAAAAGGATAATAAGTTAATATTATGAAAAACTCTATGCCCACAAATTTGATAACCTAGAAGAAATGGATAAATTCCTTGAAAGACACAATCTACCAAAACTCACACAAGAATAAACAATCTCAATAGGCTTGTATCTATTAAAGAAACTGAATCAATATTAATAACCTTCCAAAACAGAAAACTTCAGGCCCAATGACTTAACTGGTAAGTTTTACCAAATATTTAAGGAAGAAATAAATTATACCAATTCACTACAACCTCTTCCAGAAGATAAAAGCAGAAGGAATACTTCCTAATTCATTCTATGAGGCCAGTTTACCCTAATATCAAAACCAGAGAAAGACATTACAAGAAAAGAAAACTACAGACCAATGTCATGAACAGAGATACAAAAATCCTCAACAAAATATTAGCAAATCAAACCCAACATTCTCTAAAAAGAATTATAAACCACAATCAAGTGGGATTTACTCCAGGTATGCAAGGCTGGTTTAGCATTTGAAAATCAGTTAATGTATTCCATCACACCAACAAGCTAAAGAAAAACCACATGATCATATCAATAGATGCTGAAAAAGCATTTGACTAAATCTAATAGTCATTCACGATTAAAACAAAAACTCGCGGGGCCGGCCCGGTGGCGCACTGGATGGTGCGCCGCTTGGGAAGCGCGGCGGCGCTCCCGCCCGAGGGTTCGGATCCCACATACAGACCGGTTCCCGCTCGCTGGCTGAGCGAGGCGCGGGAGCAACACCGAGGGTTGCGATCCCGTTGCCGGTCCCCGGTCCGGTACGGGAGCAACACTGAGGGTTGTGATCCGTTGCCGGACATGGAAAAAAAAAAAAATACTCGCAGCAAGCTAGGAATAGAGGGGAACTTCCTCAGTGTAGGGATGCTGGTGAGAACTCACTCCATCCTTCTGGCTTTCAGAGCTCTGGCTTCAATAATTACATTTCCCCTGCACAGGTTGTTTAGCAACCAAGGCAGAAGAGGAATAGAATACTACTTTTTGTTTGTGTAAGATAAGGAGGGCGATGCCAGCAACCCCAAAAATAAGCAACAGGTGGCTGCAAGGCATGCCTGGGAATCTTCCACTTTCACAGACTTCTTCTCTTTGGTATAGCTTCAACTTTGTCTCTAAATCCCTTATAAGTTTCAACTCCTCTTCCTCCCCACCCACCACCCCCAGCCGCAACCCTACCCCCTGGGTTGCAGGGAAAGCAGCTGCATAGCACCCGGATACTCTGCCCGATCTGTCCCCTGTAAGTCACCCATCAATAATAGACAACATGGTGCCACTG